CCTCAGAGCACCTGGTTGGAAGTGCAGAACACTTTTAGATTGTTTTGATAATGAACAACAAGACCCTGAAAGTCCCATAACACGCTTGGCACAGCAGGAACCACAATTGATGGAGCTGTTGAGTTGCCTGTATGACAAATTCTGCACCAGTTCCCAGCTCTGAAATCCAGGTCATGCAGTCTGGAAATGATCTGGAAGGCATAACATGTCCAAAACAAAAAAAAAAAAGGTTTTTTAGCTGGATCGGTTCAACCGGATCTGACTCATCAGGCAGGCATGCAAGCACTTGTGTTAGCACTACAGAGGAGGCAGCATAGAGAGAAGGAACAAACTGCCAGAGGGCATGGGACCACAGAAAATGTTCATCAGCCCATGTTCTCATGCTTTGCCATTGTTCACTTTCCTATGAAAAACACTTTCCTATTCATTCCCACCTCCACACTGCTCTCTAGAAGGCAAGTGACATGTTCCTTTTCGAGATTTCACTCTACACTTTCATGGTCAGCAAAAGGATTTAAGTCTCAGCAGGGGCCAGCTGACACAGCCGCTAAGATTAGATCCCAAACAACTATTTAAAAGCCTCATGGAACCAGCAAGAAAGGGCAAAGAGCTAAAGTGTAAGAATAGAGCAGCACTGAGTTCAAACGCCTCTGTTCTTTCTTATGATAGCCAGTAGCTTCATCATGTCTGCAATAATAAAATAAAGCATCTGCAGGACCACTGGTATTTTGAATGGGATTAAAAAATGAAATGAAATTATGGACACTCATTTCAAACCAGGGCTGAATCTCTTGAATGAAAGACCCAATAGTTCTCTGATTATATATCTGTTTAGGAGGTCAGGTGTTGGTCACTATAGGAGTGGTCCTTCCCAGTACCAGATGAAACCATTTTCTGCCTTGCCATTGAGGCAACTCAGTCTTTTAACTAAGCTAAACTAGATCCTTAGCTTTCCCAGGGGAAAATGAGTTAAGTGATTTACCTGTATATATCATTGGCATAGAAAATTATTTGGGCTAAATGCCTAATTTATTGGTGGATAATGTGGTCTTTTTTGAGTCTTTTGCTGGTAAGCTACTCTTCCTGCAACCTATCCGTAAGAACAATAGACATGTGTATTTTTTCATCATATGGACATAGGCACATACTGGTCAGCTTCAAGATCCCGAGTGAGGAACTCCAAAGATCAAAGGGGAAGCTTTTCTTAAAGAACAATTTGGGGTAAAAACGCAGACTTTTAAGCTATGCACAAGTCACACTCAGTATAGGTAGGAAGCATCCAGATCCCTTTGCAAGTGCTTCATCATGGGAACTAACTCTTGGGTACAACAATTTTGGCCATGTCCCTGTCAAGAAGCCCTGCAACAACTGCCAAGGAGAGTGTGAACGGGAGGTTTGAACATGAAGCTTTCCTTCCCCTGAGACAGCGTCCACCCAGCACCTCCCAAGCTGTAAGGAGCTGCACCCCAGAAGGCTTTGCTCTTTAATCTCCTCCTAGGCTTGCTATGAAGTAGCAAATCCTCTCTCTTTGCCTCCTTGTCCAGATCAGTGTTTTGCAGTCCCTGGGTGCTCTGACCTTGCTTCTGCAGGCAGCTCAGCAGCATCAGTGGCTGCACGCAGACAGATAGTCAGTCCCTCCCTCTGCCAGAGCTATCAGGTTTTGCAAGGGCTATAATAAGAATGAGAAGTAAAACCCCTCAAATAAATAGGAAAAGATAAGGAGGCAGATAACTATAATTCTCATGACTGATAGTATTACTCAATTTAGACATTAAAATTCTAGTTAAAGATTTAAACCTTGGATTTACTGAGCATGCTTGTTATTAATTTTGCCTACTCAGACTACATTGATAGCAGGTAGGTGTATAATTTTAAATGACTTTGAATTATATTGCAAGTTAAGTATTGCAGAGACAATGATTATATTTTTTTCCCAGGCAGCTGATGAAAGGCCTTACAGGATTTATTATTACCCTTCTGAAGTTTTGGGAGGAGTGTTTACTAGATGGATCCATAGCCTGTATAATTTCCCACATTCCTCTATTAAAATGATATCCCTAATCCTTGTTCCGTAACTCAGACATGACGCATAGCAGGTCCCCACCTCTGTATCATTACAGTCTTAATTCCTTTCTTTTCAGAGTTTCAACCAGAGAAGATTAGTGTTCACTCCTCTTGCTGTGGTTTCTGCTCTCAGCCAGGTTACAGAAATCACTTTTTTGGAGGACAGAGGCACCGTGGGGAGTCCCCAGAGACCCTCACAACATTACACACACAGCAGCTCCAGGAACAGCCTGGCACAAACAAGAACCAGGGAGTTTCCAGCTCCCTTCCATTCTCCCTCTCTTCAGCTTGATGGAAAGTGGGGTATCCCTGTTGTGCTGAGCCCTGGAAGGACTTTCAGTGAGACCCATCAGGAAAAAGAAGTGGTTCAGATAACAATGTCAGGGCTTGATCCATCCAGATATGGCTACGAATGGCAGAAGAGATTTCCCTTTAATGAAATCAGTGGCTGTGACATTGCTTCACATAATACTAACAACAACAATAATCATAATTATTATTATTATTATAATAAAACAAAAAATAATATAGATGAAGATACTTATTTGGGGGAAAGCTTTTGAATGTGTGTGGGCTGTTTTCACTCTGCATACACATATCTGCATACCGGAGAAGGAAGAAAGCAGTGTCAAAACAGCACCAGTGCAGGCAGTCAGGAAGCAACTGTCAGCAACAGTGAAAGCAGTTTTGCTCATTGTGTTCTCTACCCCATCTACACACATATGGATAAATAAACTGTTTCACTCCCATGACAAGTCCATTGAGCTCCTACCAGACTTTCGAATTCTGAGTTGACCCACCAAAATTCAAAATGGATTTTCTTGGAGGTAAAACCCCCCATTGAATACAGAAGCTGTTATTTATTCTGTCCCATCTTTGTTTTAATGTCAGTGAAAATGCAAGTACATTGGAATATAAAATTGCACTTTCTAAATGCAAGCTCATAGTTCAGAAACCTGGGGTAAAACATCATCTCTGCTGAAGTCAATAAAAAATTCCAACGGACTTTATTGAGACAGGATTCAATACCTTAAAATGCTTTAATATTAAACTGAGTACTGCTCAAAATACCAAAGATTTATTGGAAAGCAATACCAGGGCATGTCATGCCTTGTCATTAAGATTACCTTGGACTCATTATCACTTTTTCTCTTAACTGAATTTCAAAGAGCAGTATTAGACGGCCGCTCATATTAAGGAGTCCTGTTAAAGGCAATCGTGCTTCATATATTATACTGCTATTTAAAGAAAACTCTTTATATCGACCACCTAAAAAGACAAATGCACAAAACCAGAATGGAGGAAGACGTATTCTAAAGTGTCAAATAAAACTCCCCACCCTATGCTTTCTTAAACACAGGCAAAATTACTTTTTTCTCTTCTCTTCTCTTCTCTTCTCTTCTCTTCTCTTCTCTTCTCTTCTCTTCCCTGATATGATGATTTAATTTTTCAATCAAGTCAAAGCTGGACTTTCACTGAAGACAAAACTTTAAAAAAAAAACCCCACCAACAAAATGAAGATATTTTATTGATGATGTGTGTGCATGATGATATTGTAACTTCTTAAAACATCTGTCAGAAGAGTGGAAACAATAACAGATGTTAATATGAAAGGCTGAAACAACAACAGTACATTTGCCTGCACATTTCCTGAGCCGGTATAGCATGGGAAAGCAGTTGCTTGGAAAGCTGTCATTATTTCCTCTTGTGTTGTTTAGAATAGACTTATAAATGCAGTCAGGTGTTACCATCAGGAGGAGCTGACAGTTTGTGGCAGTATAACCCTTGTCTTCCAGTGAGCAGGGAAATACAGTGGGAATTGTTTCCTGGCTGCCTTGAAAGTGACAGCTTTTAGCAGAAATATTCAGACTTCTTAAATGTAGTATGCAGTTAAAGATTAAGAGCTAATCTTCTATTCCTAGTTGCTTTTGCGTTGCCAAGACTTTCTCAATTCACCAGTGACCTAATTTTTAAAAATAAAAATATTGTGACATAGCCATGATCCAAAGCCTTGGCAGTGTGAGGTTCATGTTTGAACTTGATGATCCTAAAGGTCTTTTCCAACCTAAATGATTCTGATTCTATGACATGCTCACTTCATCCCCTAAGGATGTTTTCAGACCACAGATGTGAACAAGGAAAATTGCCCAACTAACATGAATCTGAGTTTATGTCATACGGAAAACTGATCCTCTGAATTAGGCAGGGACCTTTCTACAGCATTTAGTGGGATTTTTCAACCCTTTCTTTCCGTTGTGGATGAGCAGCAGTAAGAGCACTTTAGTGCGACCCATAGGCAGTGGCAAGGCTTAGCTTGCTCTCCCTGCACAGCTTCTGTGCATCCCACTTCATCTTCCACTCCCTACACCCATAACTCTTCCCCCACTGGCACTGGCCAAAACCAGACTGGTTGTCTCAAGTTCTTGAGTACATTCACAAACCCCAGTAACTAATTTAGATCGTTGTTGCTGTTGGCAGCACTATTTTAGTTTGTATTCCTTTCTTCTGCTCTTTTGTGTTTTGTTTTTCTAAAGTATATGGGTTTCTTTTAATGTGATATCTCTGTGCAAACGTATGCATCTAAGGAAGGCAAAAGAAATTTATTGCATTTTGGCTAATACAGAGGAAAGGGGAAATTGCCTACATAATGAAACAGGAGATGCAGTTTTAACTGTGTCATTTCTCTCTCATCTCCATAGTACTGAATACACAAATATAAAATATATAATCTACCTCCTCCTTCAAACATATCAACGTACAATTAAAACCCACAAAGCTTGACAACCTGTTGTCAAGTTGTTTAAGCAGTTGTTTCAGAATCTGACAGACAAACTTATAAACAAAACGTAGAGCACCAGATTGTGGAATGAGGCAGCATTATCACATGGCTTCCTCAGTTATCTCAAAATTTAGAAAACAAAAAAGCAGAGGAATACTTTTTGTCCTTGAATAAATAACAGTTTAATTACATTATAGAAATAAAATATGATATGGTGGGAATACACTGAAAATCTTACAGAAGTACTATTCTGCTATTGGTAGGTAAATGGTCAAAACTACTTTTCATGACAATCTGAACAGTACTTGTGTACAAACTATTATACAGGTTGCTAATGAAAAATATTCCAACAGTTGCAAGGATGTTACCAGCTGAAACAAACATCTAATGATACAATATTCTTCTAAGAGGAAGTAATAATGTTAGATTTACAGACAATAAAGTTATGTTCTCCACTTCGAAACACTGGAAATAAAAAACTCAGGTAATTCTATTTCTTTACCTCATATTATCACAAGGAAAGATTTTCCTTTCACTATGAAATAGCATCCCAAGAGACCCTGGAAACAGTTTATTCAAAGGTAGTATTTGAGATGTCACAGCAACTTCCACAATTTTCCTAGTCTACAATTACAGACTTTTTAGGCCACTGCTTGTAGAGATGACTTTTTTTTTCTCACTTATTTACATACATTCAGCCCAATAACAGCAGGTAAAATGCACTGCCTATCTCACAATAGACACACTAAAATTTTCATCAAAAGGCCAGTGCAAGAAGATGCGGATAATGATTGCACAGCATTGAGGAGATTATATTATACAAATATACAATCAGACTGTTGAGAATCTAACTCTGCACGCGTGTGACACAGATGGTCTTCTCGGTAGATACGTAACACTTGGAGTTAGTACACAGACATAACTGCAACAAGGGCTGGTTGGTTGATGATGATGGTGTGGGTGGCCATGGAACACAATATCGTTTGGCTGTGCTATCACTAAGTGAGGGTAGGCAACTGCAAAGTAGGACTACCTAAAGCTGAAGTTTAAGTACAGCTTTTCTTGGAACGGCAGCAGATTTTTCTAATGAAAGAATAGTTCTACTTAGTGTGCAACATGTAAGGAAATTGTTGCCGACTCTTAATAAATGGTTCTAAGTGAACCGATGCAGTTCCCAGAGCTTTAGAAAAACTCATTATGCAAATAAATGATGATGATAGACACTAATGTTTCACAGGATGCTATTTCTTATTATATCAGTAAGCACCAAGTTAAGTGCCAAGACAGCCCCATTGTCCCATGACTTATCATGTAAAATTTAGAACTTGAATGCACAATGAAAGTCCACAAAGTTTGCATTTAATTCACAAGAAGACAGCTTCAAAAATGGCTCTTAAAATACCTTTACATTTCAAATGGGCTTCCCCCCCCTCCTCCCAGAGGACTTCTTTAGGATGGATTAGACCTAGATATAAGAAAGATCTTTCAGGAGGACTTGTACAACCTCTGGGAGTCCTCTGCAATACACAGGTTTTGGCTGAGTGTGGTGGGCCTCTTGAGAGCATGGTGCCCTGCCCTCTCACCCAAGTAAGCTGCAGGGGAGGTGGGTGGAGGAGGAAAGTACCCCTGTCTCTTCCAGCTGTTGCTCAGAACGTGACCTGATCAGATCTTTAAAATGTCACCACTCATCAAGCCTGAACTTGGAGCCACTTGCATCCCTGCAGAGTCATCGGTGGAAAGGGGCTGGGCTGCTCTGGCCTGCACTGAGGCATTAGAAATGTCCCAGGAATGTCATGGCAGCCGGAGACCCTGGGCTGCTGCCCTCCCTCCCCCTCTACGTAAGACCAACGACGAGTGGCAGGGCAGCGTGGATTTTGTTCCACTCACCCTGTGCCATGGAGAAAGTCACCCCTGTTGTGGCAAGTGTCAGGCTGCTAGAAGGCTAAGCTGTGTTTGCAGCTATTTTGGCAGAAATCAGTCAGAAGGGTGAGGGAACAGTCCAAAGAAGCAAGGCAGCAGAGAAGAGGACCCCAGACCTTCTGACTCAGAACAGAACTACAGAATATCCATGCCTCAAAGACTATCTCGTAATATGTTCCTTGTGACAGTCTCAGGCGGCAGAAACTATCCCACCATGGAACAGAGTCACCATCTTCCTTCAATAGTTTCTTCCTTGAAGCTGGTAGTGTCAAACCTTGTCACTGGTTTCAGCGAGACTCGCCTCATTTCAAGCTATCAGGTTTGACTACTGACAGCCTTAAAACAAACTATCATTTACTTCTGGCTTTCTCAGTTTTCAGGAACACCACTGACAGCCACAGCAGTTGTCAGTGTGGGCTCATTCCATGCTCTGCCTCTTTTTTCCCTTATTCTCAAGAGCAACTGAAAGGTTGCTTTCTCTAGCACATTGATATACATCTCAGAGTGGATTGAGATGTTCTTAATATGGTACTTTCATCAGTAATCAGTTGGAAGAACTCAATTTTAGAAACAGAATTCATGTGCAAAGCGTGCAACAAGAAATACAGTTACATTTGGTTATAGTGTCCTATCTTAGTTATGCTACCGTGACTCACACTGATTAGTATACTTACACACACACACACGCAAACACACATACACACACAGATATTTATTTATATACACGCTCACACAATAAGAAAATGTCTAAGTCTGACAATATTTCCTCCTCTTTTAGTGAAGACGGAAGTTTGGCATCTCAGGCTCTGAATCTGCTTAAACCTGAGATACAGGAATGTGACACACTTCAAATATACATCAACTGCACAGTGATAACATGGCACTTTGAGTCTGACACATGCCGTCTTCAGTGGTCCAGCACCAGCATGTGGTTTAAAACCAGTTACCCATTAAAGGAGCCAATATCCGGGACATTTGCTTTTCAGTGTTCGTATTCACGCAACACCCAAGAACAGGGCAATAGTCTGTGCAACCATAAACATCCTTCTGCATAAATGCAGTGGTATTTAAAAGTCTGAACCAGTGCTTTCCTTTCTCATATTCCTCCTCTATTCCTATGTTGCTGTTACTCTCATATGCATGTGAAAATAAAAGGTAGTTGGGAAATAATTTTAGTAGAACAACACAAAGCCTCTCCTCTAAGTCCACAGAAGACCACTAAAAGTATAAAATTTCATAGGAATTCTTCAAATACAGTAAGTGTTTTCAATGGGGTTTACATATCACGTTTCACATTATTTTCACGGAAGTCTACCTTATCACTTTGTTTAATTAGACAAATATCAATAACACGTAATAAAACAGCATACAATTCACAGGACACGACACATTTTACAAAACCTCTAAAACTCAGCACTGCCGCGTTTGGAAAAAATCAGAAACTCCTATTACAGACATGAAATACACTTTACATGGAAATGAACATCATGATTACAAGGCTTTTTCTTCTTATTTGATGGTACTGGTTTAGAATGCATTATTTTTCAATTAGGTTTCACAATTTTTCTTCACAGCCCAAAAGAAACCATTGCTAACCTGGTATTTTCTCTGTGCTCTTTCAGGAAACATTATTATTCAGTAAACACTTTTTGAGAAAAAACTTGTGAAAATTTAGCTTGAACACCTAATTGTAAAACCTGAAGAACTGGCTGATGGTAATGCTCTTAACACAATCATTGCTCAGCTTACAATGACAAACCAAAAAATATTACAGGAGGGTACAAACACGTTAAGCCATGGGTTTGGTTTTCTCTGTTGTTGATTTTTTTTTTAAAACTAACTCCTTCTCTCCCAAGCTGAGAAGTTTCTGACTTACAATGCTTCAGCAGTTGTGTCTGTGGAGACAGACATGGTAACTTTGGCAATCTTAACTGTGCTCTTAATGCAGCTCTCGGCAGCCCTGTGCACGTTCCCCGCATTGTTGGCATGTTTGTGCTGGCAGTCAGACTCCATGCTGTTATCAAGGGGCTGTGCTGTTCCTTTGCAGGTGGGGAACATGCTGCGGAAGGCGTGTCGCAAGTCCTTGCTCCTCAGAGCATAGATGATGGGATTCACTGTTGAATTCAGCAAACAGAGCATGCTACAGAAGGCAAAGACAGTCTTGATAAGCTTGTTCATTTTCCCAAAGACATCATACACCATGATGGCGAGGAGAGGGCCCCAGCATATGATTAAAACGACTAGAATAAGGACCAAGGTTTTGGCTAACCTGATGTCCATACGAGTTTGATCAGGCCTAGTGATCTGTACCTTACCATCCTCTGTTGACTGAACGATTATGCTTTTCTGTGTGCCCCGCTGAAGCATGCGAACAGCGTGGCTGTGAGCCTTCCACAGTATGTACATGTAGGCATAGACAATGAACAACAAGAGGACGCTGGTGACCCCAATCCAGAACATCAGGTACGTCTCATCGATGAGAGGGAATATGTCCGAACAAACAGAATTGAGCTTTTTGCAGTTCCAGCCGAGCAGAGGAAGAACGGCTATTACAATAGCAATGGTCCACATCACACAAAATGCTACAACAGCCTTTGGTCGAGTAACAATCCTTTTGTAAGCTAGTGGCCTGTGTATAGATATGTATCGGTCTATTGCCGTGAGGAAAAGGCTACCTACGGAGGCGGTGAAGGAGGCTGTAACTCCACCCAGTTTGAACAAGAAGACGTTGGGGCTATCCTTCCGGTGGAAAACATGGAAATCCACAAAACTGTAGACAAAAATGACGCTACCCAGGAGGTCGGCCACAGCCAGGCTGCCAATGAAATGGTAGGAGGGTCTACACCGGAGACTTCGGGAGTGGAGGATGACACACAGGACGAGGAGGTTCTCTAGGACCGTGAAGGTGCCCAGGGTGAGCGACAGCACAGCGATGGCCAGCTGCTGGCTGGGGTTCAGGATCATAAAGCACTCCATATCCATAAAGTTCTCCCCGCATTGTATATTCTCCTCATTATCCTTAAGTGTGGACAGGGACTTGTTGTAAAACTCTGTGATGTTGACCTGATCTGAGGGAATAATGCTCAACAGGGGATCATCTCCCGTAGTCATTTTTTCTTGGAAAGGATCACCCCTGAAGGAGGAAAGAGGGAACTTCTGGGGGTAGTACCCCAGCTTGGATGCCATGTCGCCTTTCATGTCTTCGTACTGGATGTCGTTGGAGGCCACGTAAAGGAGATCTGTCGTGATTGTTCGGAAAGTTGTATCTGCGAGGCCATCTAGGACTGACTTCATAACCCCAGTCTTGTTGGTTTCAGAGAGACTTGGGGGACAGAAAAACACATCGGAGGAAATCCTATACAGGGAAAAGATCAGACTTCATTAACATAAACAGGGAGACAAACTCCATAAACAATTTAGTTGAACTATGTCAAACAAAATCAACCCTTCTCTTATATTCAGTGCAAGTCTAGGCTTTGCCACTGTGGGAATAAGGGTGGGTTGAACACTTAGAAAGAAATCACCTGGATTTCACCAAAACTGAATTACATTAAGAAGTGACACGAAAAACAGAGGCACAGGGAATCAAGTGTTTCACAGGAAAGCAATTCTCATTTCTCATTAAAACCTTCTGAGCTGCTCCACCAGAAAGATATTTTTCTCTAGATCTGAACTTGACTTCTGATTGCAAAGTACCTTGCAGACCAATATTCCTTGGGTTTGCTTCATTTAGATAACACCAAGTACCACTGCAGCAGTAAACTGAATCATCACCTTCATTACTTTTCTTTCAAAAAGCACCAAGGGTTTTGAAAACTTGACAACAGAGAGGCAATGGGGACAGAGCCATGCACTCTAAATTTCACAGTTCACTCAATATGCCTGTATATTCACATCAGCCAATTACAGCAATCTGAGGTCTACTAACATCCTGAATTTGCTATTGCAAATTTATTAGCAAGGGATTTAACCTACAAATATATAGCTTCATTACATTCATACACAAAGATTACTCTATTTCTTCCTTCTGCTAATCAAACTAAGGTAACTGGGATGTATGGGCTATATGAGGGAGGCAGGTTGTTACACAGCTCTGTCCACAGTTTCAGGAAAGGTAATCAGCACTGCTAAGTCAGTGAGAGAATCAGCAATCTGCCCTGTATAGACCAGAAGTCTCATAAACATGGAACCAATTTTAGGGCAGAGTGCAGCTCTGGCCAAAACTCTCCAGGCAAAAGGGACCAGGAGCCACTGCTTCTGTGAGAAGCATGGTAATGTAACTTGTCCTGCTGTGGACACCCTCAAAAACATTCTGTCCCCTCAGAAACTGGGGGGACCCAGCAGAAGGTCCCCAGGTAGTCAGTGGTCTGAGTCCTGTCATGTTCAGCCTTTGCTCATGGATAGTGCAAGGTGCAACTCCTGGTCAGGGTACCCTTGGGAGAGGACCCTCATCAGCACCTGACAAGTCTTATAGCTCTTCCTATGCAGTACTTTCTCCATAGAAAATTCCTTGAATATGGATTGAACACCTGCTTTAGGGTTCCCTTCTACCACCTGAGTGGATGAGAGTGGTCTGAACATAAATGAGTCAGAATTACTGCTTTTGTGTGTAACAGATATTCTGCATCTGCTATGGGACATCTAGATGATTACACCAGCAAGAGGAGCAAAACCAAGCTTCTTCTTGGTTTTAGAGTGGAGGAAATTGTTTGTGACACTCAAGAAACCCCAGATGAAATATATAGGCTTGCACTGACTTAACCTGTTCACTTTACACAAGTGACAATAAATGGCTAGAAAGGGCATGAGAGACTATCTGCCAAAACTCAGAGTACTGATCACCTCAACTCCTAAAGAGAAGATTTGCACAATAGGTACCACAGTTCTGTTTTCCCATGAAAACTATGGGAAAGCAGAAAAGGATTCCTCTCTACAACATACCAATAACTTAATAACCAATAACTTAAAAGCGTAAGAAATCAGGAGCATTTCTAAAAGCAGAGATCATTTGGCTGATGATATATTTATCCTGCCCTTGCTTATAGCATCTGAACACTCAAGACTTTTTCCACAGTTCTTTAAAGTTTTGCCTTTCATTAAGCAGGCCTGGACATTGATAGTTAAAGGGAATATAACTAAAGGGAACTTAGACCTTCAGGAGACACTGCAACTCCAGTGCTGCAAACAAGGATGAGTATAAACAAACCTTACTGGGATAGTCTTAACACACAAAATATACTGGCTGAGTGAGCTTTTGCAGATATAGTTTGCTCAGCAAGTAACAATATAATTATCAGACAGACAGACAACATTAAGGAATTTAATTCTGAGGGCATGAGCAATGAGGGAGAGAAAAGTCACTGAAGCATACACTAAAAATGAACAGCAATCATCTAATAGATAAGGTACTTTTCCTCCAAAAGGTGCTTTACAGCAGTTCCTAGAGAATCTACACGTTGCAAAGATGACTCTGCTTAACAAATTTGCTTTGGGTGAAGTTTGGCAACTTTACACTTGGCATTATAACACCAGTTTAAAATCAGAAGTGAAGCATGAGTTATTAATTTGAAAACTACCCAAAAATATTAAATGAAACAAGTAGTTCTAAAAATATGTTAAGATGGCTGTGGTATCCTCTGTTATTCCAGCTTATTTTTGACAGAAGAAAGACAACCATCTTAAAGATTAAAGCCACAGCCCCATGTCGAGAAGATTATGTCTGAGGAAAGCTTCAAAAATTGTATGCAACTGAGCACTTCTGCTAGACAGACAAACAAATTGTTATGAGGTAGCTGGTCCCTGCTGGAGTCATGTCAAGTATAGACTCGTCAGAATTAGGTGCCGTGCCTTTGTTTGAAATACAAATGAAAAAACACAAATTCCTGTGTGTTCTTTTGAAGGTGGCAGTGAGTTATGTGACAGTATCACTATGCATGCATATGCTATGCTAACAGCACAGTTAATGGGATCAGGAGAGGCAAGTCTTACTTTGAATTTCAATGATTTTTTTTTCCTCTGTATTTTTACATTGAGATTATTACAGTAATTTCTACCTTATTGTATCTGCAAAGAGAGTTTTCTTTGGGAGTACTTGGGAGTTCATTAGTGATGTAGTTTAGGCTTTGGGGGATGCTGCTGACATTAATTTTGGTTTTGTTTGCTGCTGGGAATATAATAATTGGAAATTTCTAGCTGTATGTGTGCATGCACCTATTCAAGCAGCAGTTGATTTTTATTAAAGTTGCAGTAAAACAAACCATTTGCCTGATCTGGAATTGCATTTTACAGGAAATTCATTTATTTTAATTTAGATACCAGCTTATCCCAGTATAAGCTCACTACTGAAACGCACTGAACAGATCAGCGAGGTTTTCCATGGCTGTCTAGTGAAAGCAAGACTGGACCTTTGGCACTGTGGTTATCAGGTCACAGCCTGAGATGCTGCACGATTTGACATAGACTGAAAAGGCAATGGCAGAAGCAGTGGTCTTGTTCTTGGTCTTTTCATTTGGTCAGGTGCACATCCCAGTAACACACACATTTTTTCTCTGAGCTCTTCTGTCCAAACCTGGCGTGGCAAGCAGGCACTGCAGACAAAAACAGACACCCCATGCAATGTGGCCACACTGCTCTTTGCAGTTGGCTTCAACACAACCCAAACCCATGCAGCCCAAGAACACAAACCTATACTACTCAACACCCATGGTGATCTCTACATTAAATACTCCAGAAGCCCCTGTGGCCTCTCACAGCCTCCCTAGAGAACAAGCATCCCCCGCACAGATCTGTCCTCTCTGGATAGGGCTGGAGTGATGGCTGTGTGCTGTGGCAAGGTCCCCTCACAGACAGAGCAGCAGTGACGGAGAGCCACCCTGCCCTGCCAGAATTCACTCTTTCACCAGAACCTTTGAGTTTTCAAAGCTCTCAGTTTCATCTCTTCCTTAAATGAGCTCTACTACCTCACTCATTTTAAAATAGCTTTTAAAGGACTGAAACATTGATTAAAGATGAGGGAGAGCGTGCACTGACACCGGCACTCAAAATTTTTGACGTGTTTCCACGACTGCACGCAGCAATTCACAGCAAGTACTGAATTATGATTACAGATAAAAATTAAAAAACAGACAAAAATTTCAAGCATCTTTTATCTTGAAGACCACACCAGAAAAGGAAAAGCTGAACATCATTTTAGACCTTTCTCGGGTCATCCAGCAGCTGCTGAAGGGCACTATCAGACCAGCTGTGCGAAGCGACTGCCACTAGATGGAGTGGCTTTGACAAACTCCCAGCTTAGCTGTCTGCAGAGACCTGTATTCAACTTCCTCCAGCCCTTTTTCCCAGCCTACTTTACCGGTGATCAAATATATGAGGTTTAAACATCACCTGATGGTTGAAGACACAACTTTGCCTTTGAAGTGAAAGAATTAGTGAAGAGTTGAGGGGGCAAGTCTTACTACTGCCCTCCACTGTGTGGTTACATCCTAAAAGATGCTAAGATGGTATCAGAATATACATACATTTTAGGTAAAATAAAAAATACATAGTATATAAAAGGGAGAATTACACCTCCCATGGACTTCTTATTGGTCCACAAGACCAGTTCACTTGGGAACAAGAACGTGACTTCAATAAAATGCTATTACCTATCTTCTCCTGCTGTTCTGTAGGAGAGGGAGGGCTGGAAAATTTTTATCATTGTCTATAAAAAGGGCTGAATTTATTATTATTTTCAAACCAGGATGATTGATAGAGCAATTTTAATAGCCTGAATAGAAGCAGTGAGTATTTGTGTTCTTCCTTGGAAAGTAATTATGAGCAATACAATGATGCTACTGATAACTGCAAAAATGTTGACATGGCAAGAAAAAGAATCAAAACTGGAAAGGGAAATCCACAATCAAACCTTTCTAGCTTCTATTTTAGAAAATATTTTGATCTCCATGTCTATACATTTGTTCTGTGATAATCACAGTTAATTAAGAACAGGCTAAAGGACAAGTAAGTAGAAATGAAACAAGTTTTGAATAGACAAAAATAGGTAAATGTACTCTCCTTGCATACATGTTGTAAGGTTGCAAATTGTTCAGAGAAGGGCTTTATCTTCTGATAAGTTTGCATAGTGCCCAGTACACTGGGACTCCTACCAAACTGGGTCCACAAAGTACCATCATAGAAGAAACAGAAATTTATACTTGTACGCAGTCAGCTGGAAAAGTGTGAGAGAAATTAGGTTTACCATGGTAACTGTTGGCCTTTAGGAATTAGAACTGTCCTATAAAATGAAAATTTATATGGCCAATAATTACCTTATCCCATATGGCGATGAACAATACTGCTTCGAGGACAGAACAAGGTTTCCAAGCTGGAGAAAGAAATGTGCAGACTGAGAAATGGCATTTCCAGACTCAGTAACACTGAGCAAGGAAAAAACACATGTTGACAAGAATGTGAAGGCAATGTTACTCTTATACTATTTACTGGTTTACTACTCTATCTCCAACACTGTGCTACTCCTAGGCTATAAATGGCAAAAACGCTGTCACTCCTAATTCAGGAAAACTTGCAGTCACTTCAGTCAGAATTTTCTCTGTATGAGGGATCAGGAAGGAGACAGACACCAGGAGAGGACCAAATGAGGGATATTATCTTCTAGATACAGCAAGGCACTATCAGCTATGGGGTAAACTAGGGCATGCAAGTACTGAACCAAATTTTGTTCTTATGTAACATGATCATATCTTTGGCAAGTTGAACCTTAATTAGCAAGAAGCCACAGCTACACGGTTATTACATTAATTAACATACCGTTTGCACACTAGCAGAATAAGGGCTGGACTGTTCCAATTTGTAGGCAAACAGCCCCTACGTGACACCCCCCAGCATCCAGCAGCCGACAATCTGAACAACAAAAACAAAAGAAGGGGGAAAACATGGCGTTAGTCAGTGGTGGACAACGTTTTGAAAAGAAATAACACTATTTCCTCCCTCCCAAGTTTTGTTGGTGTGATGTGTGTACCAGTTTTAGCACAGGTGACTTGCATGTACAGAGAAAAGGAGGCTGTGCCTTACCTCCCAGACAGCCAGGGTATAAATGTGTGTCTAAGATCAGAGAGGTTCAAAAGCAAGGCTGAAGTCCTGCTCCATTTGGTGCAGCCAAAGGACCTAAACTTTGCTCTCCTGAAAGGCAGGTCAGTGTGCTGGCAGCCTCTACATTCTGCTGCCCACCTCTAAACTGCTGAAGTTGTTCCATGATGGATCAAGAGTTAACCATCCAGAAATAAAGGCACCAATTGATATTCCAGGAGGCAGGGTGCACATCTGGAAAGTGAGAGGCTCAGCTTGAAGCCCTTTCTCTTAACTAAGCAACTCAAGGATGTGTATCCTGCATCCTACCCAGGCGCAGGGGAGGAAGAGCAGGTACAGCTGCCCCATCTGCCTGTGAAAAATGGCCAAAACTCTTGAAGTCAGTCAAAAGCCCTCAGCTTATAAAATACAACCCCTTACACACACACTGACTACCAAGTTGGAGACAAGATGAAGTAATGAAATCACAAACCAGCAAGGGGACCATCAGGGTCTCATTAATGGGAAACTACAGCTACCTGCTCTGCCCAGCTTTTGGGAGAAACAAGGGAAGGCTAAGGTGTCTATCTTAAAATGTGGGATTTTAATATCTGTCACAGTTTATATATCTTAATTTCATCTAAAGATAAAACTTTGGAAGAGAATTAAGTGGCTTGCTGAAGTATGTAAGACTCGGATCAAAGGAAACAACTGAGCAATCATGAAGCAATTGTGACCTGGTCGCTTGCTTAAAATCAGCTCCAGTTTAGGGACTGGAGTCCCAATAAATGACTTTCCCTTCTCCTTTCCAAATACAGCAGAATGAACAGGTAATACAAAAAGTTTGATACAATGCTATGGTACTTACATTTTAAAGAAAATGGAAAAGAACTCATTAAGCTGGTCAATTTTGAACTCTCAAAGTTTTTCTTTTTCACAAAAGGGTTTATCTTGGATTTCAATATTCCAACAGAAAGCGTATAATTTCCAGCCTCTTCTCTAGCCATTCCCTAATGCTAAAAGCTGCAGGCACTTACTACTGCTGAGCAGAATTGACATAAATGTTAAACAGGGACAGAGAAGTCCAGCCAGGTGCAAGAGAGATGGGAGCTGAACATTCATGCTCCTGAAAGTACCTAGAAGAAATGGCAGTTTAGTACACAATGTGTAGTTTAAGGGAGAGAAATAATTTGAAACAACAGAGCAGGACATAAAAGACCCAGAGTCCGCTGGATGCTAAATGCTAAAGGTCTTCAGAAGAACGTAATGTCTAGAGGATGGAACTGGGTGGAAAACACATTTATTAGGAAGCAAAAAAAAAGAGAGAGAGAGAACTACTCCAAGAAAACAGCTTCCATGTAATGGCCAGAGCAGAAGAGAGAAGGTCAAGAATTTGTTGCAGCAGAAAATATTAGTGAACTTTATTAAAAGAGTAAGGATTAGAGAGAGAAAGATAGCAAAAACATCAGGCTCCAGGGAGAATGCTCATAAACTGCACAGAGTGTATGTCTGCTTTTTCATCCTCCTGCAACAAACTGGCTGTAACAAGTTTTAATTAAAGACTTCATGAGATAGCAAGGAGATGCTAAGAGCAAAGGTAATGTGGGTTAAGCTTTTGGTGTGATGAGGATTGGTAGGAGAGAGCAAAGATAACTATTGTCCCCATACTGGAAATAAGACATCTCCAGGTGAGACAGAAGCAAAGTGGGGAAAGGTAAGAGAGGAAGACCCAAGTGGAAGAAGCCCCTGTGAGGCAGAGATGCAGAGAAAGAGAAGAGTTGCCTTTGTGATCACCTGGAGGAAAGCAGATCGGGTGAAGGAGAAAACTCACAAGAGAAACCCTCCCTCCTCTTCTGAGCTATGCGAACTTCAGACACCTCTGTAAGCTGAATGATATAGCTAGTGGGATTTTTCATATCTCACCATAAAGAAAGAACAGATCCACTGCTCTGCAGGCAGTGACTTGCTCTTTTGAAAGTCCATTTCTGATCTGTATTCAAGCAACGAAGGAAGACGCAAAGGACTCCGAGAAGCCATCTTTGGTAAGGTCAGAGAAAAGGACAGCACTGTACGCACAGACAGTGGGGACCAAGCTGAGGACTCTCAGGAGAGATCAGCTGAGCAAATTTGGCCAGGGATATTAATTAAAATCAAACTGTTTAAGGAAAATGAAGTACAAGATATGGACCTCAGAGGTGAAAAGGAGGAGAGTGCTCAAATGGAGCCACTGAGTGACCCATACAGCAGATAAACACACCAGAAGTGAAAAGGGGGTTTACATGCAATGACAAAAAGTTAGTGCATGGAAGGTCAGCAATACATTGCAAGCAACATCCCTTCTACCTCAGTCTTCAAGAGCCTACTTCTCCAAAAAATTATTATTAGGCCATCAAGTACTGGCAATGCTCAGAAGCTAGGTTAGAAATGCTTTTCGCAAATGCTTTTCACCATCAGCATTAGTGAAGGACAAAAATATGCACTCCAATTAAAAAATGTAATGCATTCTTTCATTTCTGGAGCTGCCTGGCCTTTGATAAGATTTAAATAAACTCAGATAACTGTCTTCATAGTTACATTCAAAATATAATGATATTAAAATATACTGCCTTCACATGCACAAACAACTTGTGAAATTATTTGCCAGCATATTAAGCCACCACACCAGATTGTTTGGCAGTGGTGTATGTCTTCAAAATATGCAGATGCTTTTCTTTTTTTAAAAAAATGAGAGAGCAAGAGAAGAGGAGAAGTGAGAAAGAATTACAACAGAATCTGATATCCAAGTAGCCAGAATGACAAATTGTAGAGACTCCAATCAATATTACATCAGATTTGGAGAAATAGTTAAAATATACTGAGAGATCACAGAATATTCTGAGTTGGAAGGGACACACAAGGATCATCAGGTCCAACTTTTTAAGTGAGTGGCCCATACAGGGATCAAACCCACAATCTTGGCATTATTAGCACCAGGCTCTGACCAACTGAGCTAATCTCAGGGTGGCAGTTATGACTTTTTATTTGTATGTGTGTATATATAAATATATATTTCTATGCATAAATTTACAAACAGGAATACGGAAAGAAAAAAGTCCACATGTCTAGAGGAAGAAACACTGCAGTACTGTTTGTCATGCATAAACTCAAATTTCAAGTGCTAGAGGACAAGCAGACAAGCTAGAACTTTAGATATAAAAAATATAGGCAAGATGAATATCCTTTTGAATTCCCTTATACACAGCCTTCCTGGGGAAAAGCAGGAATCTAAACCTGGTATATCTATCACTGAGTTATTTTGCATGTATATATACATATGCCATATGCCATTTACTTTTCCAGGCACATGTATTGTCTGGACTTCAGTATTACATTCCTTAAAACAGAGGTACAACTGACTAAAACCAATGATTTCTGAGAGCATGTTTCACATATTCAGCACAACAGGAAGGTGGGAGACCCCCAAGTCCCTAAACACAAACTTTGAAATGCTTCCTGAAATGCAGAAAGATGGAAACTTCCCCAGTGAGGGCTGAAAGGAAACTGACAGTACAGAACTGCTCCTGCTCAGGACTCTGTAGTGAGTTAACACGTCTTTCTTATGAATATACAATTGCCATAAAACAGTTAACACAGGATGAGGTACTACTTGATGCCATCTAGCCTCAACCTACACAAATAATACAACATCTGAATTGTATAAAACATCCAGTTTCACCAAACAGTCCAATCACAGCATAACAAGTAACCATTATACTAACATATCCAGTAGTGAAATATCTACTTTGTCAGTAATTTGGATGTTGCTAGCTTGATCAATAAAGGATGTTCCTCCTGAAGAGAGGCAGAACCAGGCTTGGAGTGTGCATCACCATAATGCCCCTGCATGAGGCACAAATGGCAGAATAAAATGTGCTCCAACCTTATGTTGCAAACCCAATCATTTTTCATGAGCAACAACAGCACCTTCGGGAAAAAGGAAAAAAAAGTTCTCTCTAACGAGAAATTGATTTATAAGTCATTACAACCATTTCAAAAGGACAGGTCATAGCTGGTTTCAGCGAACATTAACAAAGCCACACACTTTCAAAGGGCCTCAGTTCTGGGGGGGAAATTCTTATCCCACCAACAGCAATAGGATGTGCACTTTTGGTAGCAGTACAGTGTCATTCTAGAAACGGAGACATAAAGAGCAGTACTGAGAAGACAGGTTGTCACATTTTTAACTTTGCATTAATAACAAATGCTCTTGCTGTCTACTCTGGCACATTTGCAAGCTTGCTTTTAGGTACAAGGGGCTGGCGTTCATTTCCACTATAGATAAGAAAACAAGAGCAGCCTTGTTATGATTAAAAGGGTCTATTTCCCTCTGCCTTCTGTCTTCTGTGTCCATCTGCACAGCTGCTTTGAACTTGGCCAAATCCCAGTGTTAGGGTCGCCCACAGCACATATTTTAAATCATCATCAGACTTGTGAATTTGCTGCTAGAGAAAAATCTCCAAATTCTCACCTAAATGGTCGATGAGTGGTTTTGTAGAACATCCATCATTTTACACATTTTACACATTTTTTACATCATTTTACTATTGGGGAAATTGCACCAAAAAAATGCAGAAAAACAATTTACTGTTTCATGAGAAGACTCAAATAAAGACAATATAGACATCTGGAAAGAAATGAAGAGCAATCACTGTAGAGAAAAATGAATTCTGTGGACGCCTAGGTAGATAACTGTATGACTAGAGAGGTCATAAAGTCTGCATCTGAGAAAGAAGTTACAGTAATTTCTCTCTAAAGGTGCAGAATTAGAGAAACTAGGTGAGTGGAAGACAGTGCACAAGACTTGCAGAACCATGAATGGCAATGTATTTGTAAAAATCTCAAGCAACACTACATTAATATATGGGTTTGGATTCTCCGTTGCCTCTTCATCTCCTCACCTACCTCTACTCAACAGAACTGAAAACCATGCCACCTCTCCCTCTCTAGTGCGTAACACTTTCAGCACCAAAATTCCCAGTGGGATGACAGTCTGCAAGCACTTTGAGACCACCACATTAAAGACTGATAGTCAGAAATGGCTTAAAAAAGAAAGAAAGAAAAAGTTATTTCTTTCTAAACTTCCACTTCCCAATCAGAAACTTGTGAACAGGGGAAGGGAAAGAAAGGCTTGTATTGGCTAAGAACTGCCATTCCCTAAATAGAGCATGAAAGCTTTTAATGGGGTCTTTTATGAAACTGAGCTAACATCATTCACCAAAGAACAACAGCCAGGATCAAAGGCATCCACCAGCTCATCCTCGCAATATTGTAACCTGCTTCCACCTCCACCTTGAGTTTTATAGGTATTTTGATTTGATTACTGTGGGTTTAGGTGTCATAGAATGGTTGGCAAGCTAAATTCACAGCAAATAAGTCGGTTTCCTTACCTAGTCAACATTTTTTTTTCCCCTCCTGGCAACAGATGCCTGGCTCAGTCAAACAATTATTGCATTTATCAATTTTGCTTTAAAATGGTTTTATTCAAATGGTTCTGCTTCTTATTCCAAAGACCAACAGAAAATAAAGCAAAGCTGCTACTGGTTGCTACAAAACTAATTTTAACCTCAAGCAAATCAGGAATTACACATTCATGTTCTGAACCATTTAAAAATGCTACATTCATTTCTTTTACAACTGATTTAATAAACTCTAAGCCTGCATAATAAATATTCCTATTACAGTCACAGAGGTTTTTTTCCTTTCTTGGGAAGGGAAAACCCATGCTGGTGGCTGATATGAGGTGTAATGAGAAAAGAATTAAGCACACCCAAGTAATTTTTGCAGTGTTGCACATTTTGTTATTAAATATCATACTCAGCATCACTTTGATTCTTTGAGTGATCCTGGTACATGTTAACAGCAGTGCCACCCCCAGCAGAGAATGTTATATTCCTTTAAGAAAGGGTGAACAATAACAATGAAAACAAGATGATACATCTAGGAAAAAAAAAAGAAACATTACTACACCTTTAGCAGGTTAAAAAAGCCACACTATGTGTTTTTTTAAAAACTTGCAGATACTCAAGGAGTATTTTGCTATCTGGCTCTATGTTATAGATGTCCCTTTATCTTCTGAAAGAAAAAAAAAACATGTGCCAAAACTGTTAATCTCATCATTTGCTGCCACACGGAAAATAACACTGATGATAATTTTAGATAAAGAAGGAAAACTACGGACTTCATCTTCTGACACCATTTTACTTAATCAAACTGCAATCACAGTAATGAGCTCTCTCCTACCAAAGGCTTGGTACATACCTCATCCAGGGGTGTTCTCAATGGAGATTTGCAGATGCCTTTGAGACAAAAAGATGCCCATTTAAAATAAGCCCATCTGGCTCAAAATTATGTCTCAACAGCTGAAGATTTCACATGACAAACGCTGCGTGAAGTTTAAAAGGCTCACTGTTTTTCGGCTGTCTCCCCACCATAGCTCCGAATTTCAGACAAAAACCAATCAACCAACCAACCAAAAAATCCTACCGGGATATTCTGAGGATGCTGGACTCCTAAGTGACACCTTTTAAGGGGAACATCATTGCGCACAAAATTACGAACCGCCTTTTATTTCGGTTACAGCGTCAAAGGTAGAGTTTAGGGAGGAAAAGTGCACATGAAAGCTGGGCTGAATACCACCCGCTGTAAAGCACCAGTGGGTCAGGATGAGAGGAGAAACCTCCGATGTCAGATAAGGTCCTGTGGGAGCCCGGGAGGCTGCCGGCTCCGCGCACAGAAGAATAGACGCGTGTTAACCATAACGCCACCAGCTTCCCGCACCCCCGCCCGCTGAAGGGCTCCCCTCGGCCGCCGGGTCCCCCCTCCTTCGGTCGGGCTCGCGAAACCAAACCCCTCTCCTCGGACCACCAGCTTTCCCCGGGTGGTCCCGGGGCACCCTCCAACTGGTCCCAGCAGCCTGAGGCGGCGGCGCAGGGCCATGCCTGGGGTAGGGGCGAAACCCGCGCTCTGCCCTGCCCCCGCCGCAGCGGAGGTCGCGATCGCCGCGGGACTCGGCGGCAGATCCTGGGGAGAGATGCTCCGCAGGCAGCTGTCTCCCCTCCGCCCGCTCCGCCGTCGGGGCAGGCGGTGTCATCCCCGTCCTACCCACGCCGCCAACAAACTTTGAGGGGGACAACGGGTCCCTGGCCCCAGACCGCGGGGCACTCGCGGGTCTTTCCTGCCCCCCCTCCCCGCGCCGTCCTTACCCTCTGCACGGCACCGGCCGCGTCCCCCGCCCGCTCCGGCCGCGCCGACCCCCAGGCAGGGAGCGTGAGCGCCGCCCCGCCCGGCCACCCCGGCACTGGGGAGCGCCGAGGAGGCGGTGCCGGTGAGGGGAAGGAGGAGGTGGGAGACTTCTCCCCCCGGCTGCCTCCCTTTCTTCCCTTCCCTCCCCTCGGCGCCTCCTTTCCGACCACCGTCGCCCTCGCTCTCCCGGATCAGGCGGCACGCCGGGCTCCACCACCCTGCCGCCGCCGCCGCCGCCGCCGCTCCATGTGCCGCCCGCCCCCTCCTCCTCCTCCGCCTCCGCCCGCCGCCGCCGCCGCCTCGGCGCGGGGAGGCAGCGCGGGAGCCGCCGGGCGCCCGGCGCGACTCCGGCACACGCCGCCGCTGCGTCCCCCGCTTTCCGCCCCGCTCCGGTCCCATTTATGAAGCCCGGCGCCCATCACGTGTCAGTGTGTGCCTTTTGTCCCGGCCCTGGCAGCGGCGGAGGCGCCCCGCACGCGCGGGCAGCGCCGGGGCGGACGGGCGGCGGCGGCCAAACTTCTCCCCAGGGGAGGGACACGGGGACACCGAGGGACACCGCGGGGGCGGGCGGCGCAGAGCGGGCCTCGGCCTGTGTCGGGCCGTGCCCCGCGGCCCCGGCCGGCCGTGGGCGATGACCGGCCGTGAGCCCCGTCCTGCTGGCGCTCCGCCGCGGCGGCCCCACCGCTGGCCGCGGGTAACCGGGCCGGGGGAGGCGGCGCGCCGGGCCCCGGACCAATGTGGAAGGCAGCGCCTCCTCTGGCCCGCGGGGGCGGACAGCGCTTCCCCCCCCGGGGGGCCCGGCCGGGCCACCCGCCGGCGTGGCCTGGGAGAGCCGGGCCGGCTCCGCGCTCGCCCCGGGCTTCGGGGTTGGCGCACCCAGGGAATGGGTGGGTTGGCGGCCGTGGCTGACCGCGTGGGGCGTCCCTTCTCCGTCCCAGTTCTTCCTGTGAAACACCAGAGTTCTGCCATCGTTTATTTCCCTTTTCCTCACTATCCTTGTGTCCCGCCTTGGGTGTTCTGGGGCTCATGCGACAGCCGTCATGGCAACCCTCAGAAGTGCTGAGGGGCGAGATACCTCCAAAGGCGAACAGGGAATGGGCACAACCGGCAAGCTGAGCTTTATTCAACAGCCAGTTCCTAAAGAGTGTAATATCCAACTGGCTTTGCTCCGTGTGCTTTTGCCTCTGCAGTGTCATAAATATGTATTTGTCTTCACACGAATTAATACAGAAAGATGATAAATATTTATCATTTGACATAGTGTCTAAAGACGTTAACTGGTCCATCCACCCATGGAGAAGAATATGCCATATTCCTTGCTTCTCAGGAAAAAAAAAAGCACTCAGGTCTTCCCAAGTGAGGGTTAAAGGTTTTGGGTGGCTGTATTTTTTAGGGGTGTCCAACTCAAGATGTCCCTGCCAGCTGACATTGACTCTTCCTCTTGAAGGCTTCTCAAGCTGGGCCCCCAAGATCTGAGGCAGCCAAAATCTCAGGACTCCATCCAGAAGATGCTCAGGAGTGCATCTGCTGAGGAGTACAGCCTCATTCTCACAATTCAGTGTTTTCCCTGCATTGAGTCCCATAGCGAGTCTGCAAGATCATAATTACTGCCTATAATTTTTCCACCACTGGCTCTTTCTGATGGTAATCGTTAAATTAACAAGAAAGGAGATAATTTCAATTGGCACACCCTGTGAGAAAAGTGGAGGGGGAAAAAAGGCTAACTCATTTGTGCCCAGCTTGAGTTTCTGGTATTAGTCCGTCTGTTTGGTCATTCAGAAGTGGTGTGTAGAAAGAACTTTGTTTAAGACTGCATTAAATCAGATCAGATTTCTCTTTGGCTGTGTATTTCAGAAAGTACTGACCTCTCCTCCTCAGAGGACTACAACTTTTTCTTTTTTTAATTCTTTGAAAGACTTAGATACTTTTGCTTTTAATGTGAACCTACCGAGTTAAACATCTCTTCCACAGTCATGGAGGGACACATTGCCTCTGCAAAGGCAAGTCACATCGAGTGGACATCACCAGACTAAAATCAGCTCTCAGAGAGAATATAAGGGCATGTGTTAACTGCTCATCCTGCCTCCACATTCGTGACTTCCTAATGATCCCCATCCTTAACTTGGAGTTACTCCAGTCTCAGCATAATCCTTCTTTCCATCACTTCTAAACTTGTATGGTAGAGAGGAAAATTGTAGTGTTGAACATGTCACCATGCCCACACACTGAGGGTTTTTTCCCCCCTAAAATCCCCTACA